GTCTGTGTCTAGATGCTTTTTTTGGCATGTGAATTTCCAGTTGTTTCTCATTGTTAAAAATGAGTTGACAACATTTATCATGGGGGTTGTCTATATCTAGGCACTCATTCTATTCCAGTTATCTATTTTTCTATTCTTTTTGTCAGTGCCATGCTGCTTTGTTGATTATAGCTATATATAAGTTTTCCACTTGGGTCATGTCAGTCCTCCAACTTTGTTCTTTTCCCTCAATATAGTATTATTTTAGGTCTTCCAATCATTCTCCTTGCTTCCTCCAATTTTATTTATCATCTTGAATTCCATAGTGTTTTCCCTTAGCAATATGCTTTTGAACAAACTAACTCATCTCATAAATTTTGTCCATAGTTAAAGAATCTGAGTAAAAAAATATACAAGAGACAAATTTTTTTCAGACTCAGATATTCACTGATCCCTAAAGCATTCTCTTTACCAGATCACCTTCCTGCTTAAATTTCATAGTTCCCCATTGTCTATGTTATAAACTCTAATATTTTTAAACTTAAAGAAATGTTCTTAATTTATCTCCAATTTTTTCCCCAGGGTTCTATCCTTTTGATTTAATCTTCATTTACTCCATGAATGTCACGTAAGTGCCAAGCTGTACACCATGTTCTTCCCACTCCCATAATTTTTCTCATTAAATCTTATAAGCTTCCCTATAATGAGCTCCAGGAGACTACTACAAATAGAAGAGAACAATCTGGGACAATAAAATTAGCATGCATAAAATTGTTGAAGAGATAAAAGAAGGAAAAGAATAAATAATGAAAAAATAGGCCCTTATGAAATATAAAATGAACATATAAAAAAGAACCAAACAGACTTTTTATAATGAAGAACTAAATGCACAAAAGAAGAGATTAAAAATAGCAAAAAAGAAAATCAGTGAACTGAAAATTGCTTTAGAGAAATCATCCATGATGCAAAACAGGGAGATGAGGACATATAATATTTGAATGAGCATTTAAAAATGCAGAAGCCAAATTGAAAAATTCAAATAATGCCTGTCATAAAGAGTTTTAAGTAGTAAGGGAGGTAGGGAGGTCATTTCAAAGAATTAATGACTGAATATTTCTTAACTAAAGAGTACATAAACCCATAGACTGAAGAAACACTGATAATAAAGTTATCACAGAAAATTAGAATATTCTACTCCTACAGAGGTCCTAGTGAAAATACAGATTAAGAAAATATGATATGAAACAAGACAAAAGTATAGCTTATCTTCATAACATCTTCAAAACCACAACCTAAAATTCTTTATCTTGATAAATTCTCCTACAAGAATAAGAGTAAAATAAATTTTTTGAGAAGTGATAAATTTACATGAAATTCTGGTTACCCCATATAAATATATTCCTTACATTTAAGGAAATTGTACACTGATAGCGAAGATGATGCATCCATTTTCTCACTTCTTTTCACTAACTTATCTTACACGGTTAGATCTGTTAGTACAATTCATTCTACACATTGCTGTCTGATTAAGCCTTGATCATATTGCTTTTACTCAAAACAGTTCAAGTATCATTTATCAAACATCATCTAAATCAGGATTCAGCACACTTTTTCTGTGAATATCGAAAATATTCTGTATACAGTTTACGCTTAGTGAACCATATTCAGTCTCCATTGCATATTCTTATTTATTGTCTTTTAGATCCCTTTAAACATATTAAAACCACTCTTAGCTTATGTGCTTTACAAAACAGGCTCTAGACAGATTTGTGTGAGTCGTATTTGCTGACCCTTGATCTAAATTCCCAACTTGTCATTTAATGACTTCTACTTTCTTTGCATGTCTTCTTCTTAATATTGTACTGCAAAGATACTCTATTCTGATGTATAAAATGAAAAAATAAATGTTTACCATAAATAATAGCAGAGGAGTACATGATATCTTTCTGAACACCCCCAAATTCTGTAGATTTGCTGGAACCAGGAGCAGTTGTTGCCAATGGATTCAGAAAAAGTATCTTCTTGAATGGAACTGCAATTTAAAAGTGCAGCTGTCAATGCAGCTTTCATTAGTTCATATTTACCGTTGGCATTTTCTTCATACAAGAATGAATAGACTTCTCATCCTATATCTGAAAAAATCAGTTTAATATTCACATTTTATGAATACTCTGACCAAATGGAGCTTGGCCTAATTGCTGGGGATGCAATGATGAATATAAGTCACTTCCTTGAAGGATCTCAGCATTTATAAAGAAGAAATGTAGGTGAACTAGTCAGAGACTAACATTTTAAGTTTATGACTATAACATCAAACCATTGTCTATTAAGAGGACATTGCATACAAAGTCTAGAGGTTAATCTTGAACATTTATCATACATCACTTAAAAAAAAAAACACTTTTGCCATGTAGAAAAATACCTGGTTATTTCATGATTCTATTGTCTTTTGAGTAATATTTATTGGACAAAAATCTGAAACATCTCATATTTCCTCAGGTTTGTATTTATTTAAATATATCTTTGTCCTCTTCCTATCAACTGCTAACTTGAGAGCTGAAGTCAGTCATGCTTTCTGCAGAAAGTATACCTGTCTCATTAGGTGGTGTGTGTATGTGTGTGTGTGTGTGTGGTGTGTGTGTGTTGGGTGGGGGTATGGGGGAGATGTGTTCTGCTGTTGGTAGAGAAAAGGGTTTTTTAATAAACAGGGGAAGTCCTTTGCTTTCTTGATTTTTCAAACAACCAAGATACCCCTGGGTCTCCTGGTCTGCCTCTGATCATCAGTGATGTCATTCAGTCGTCAAAACCCTGGTGCGATCACCCTCGGGCTCTATCTCCGCATGTAGCTAGCCCTCCACAACATAACTTCAACCATCTCAGCACTGACGCCACAGCATTAACCGAATGTATCAAGTTGCTTGTGATGCTTCATTCAGATTCAGTAATCAGAAAAAGAAGTCAAGTGGGCACATTTATCATGGTGACCGAGGAGTTTGCAGGTAAGACACTCCGAAGGGAGAAGATACCTTTGATTAAGTTAAGACAAACTATAATGGATGAGAGTTCTGCTCAAGTCCAATAAATCACTAGAGTCCTTCTGGGTTAGCAGGAATAGAAATCATTGGTAAATTAAAACTTGCAGCTCTAGCTATGATGATGCCTTCAGTGTAGATTCTGCCTGGATACCTCTGCAGAGGAAGCTGGGAAAGAAGTCTCAATCATCTTGGGAAGATATTCATGATTGACGATGATAAGCTGTATTACCCATTGGACTTATTTGGGGCTAGGTTTAATAAACCTTAGTTCCTTTAACTGCAATGGAGTGAGAGGTTGCTGAGCTCAATTTCAGCAATCAGACGGGCAGGTTGAAATGGCAGTAGCCTTGAAAATGTGTGAGAGATTCAGCATGTCCTCCAAGGGGCTGAGAGTCACAAGGCATCATTTGAAATAAGCAAGTGTGAGCCTTTTTGTTTGGGGTTTCTCAGTATCTATAAATTTTTGGTTTTTTTTTTTTTTCCCTGGGATTCTGAGGCCATGAATAAAATATGAGTATCTTCTATTTCTTTTTCCTTAATGAGAGATTGCATTGGATGGTAGGCCATTCCCTGCACAAAGAGAGCCACACACTGGATTTATTAACTCTTAGCAAATGTTTGTTCGATGCTGAGTAATGAGGAGGCTTGCCGGTGCAGTAAGATAAAAGGCTTCCCCACTTTGTGTTTATCCTGTGGGTAATGAAAAAACAAATTGGCGATTTTGTATTTTTCCTGTTGGAAATTCGTAGGGTCACCCAGGGAAAACAGAGAAGGTTAACTGGCATGAATACTTGCCTGTAAGCGTGGTGTCAGGAAAGAAAGGTCACACATGCATGAAATACCCCTAACCATAACTGGTGCTACTGCAAATGCAGACCAGTGGAAAAGAAATTGTATTCAATGAAAGCAGAGCCTCGGGAATTGCACGGACTGGCATGCAGCGAACCCTGCATTTTCAGCATTGTAAAGGCAGGACAGGCCACAGTGCAGGTTTTCCGATCCCATGCAGACCAGGTAAAGGAGGAGTCAGAGTCCTTAGTGGGTTTTTTTGCAGGTCTTTTATTTGGGGTTCACAAGGCATATGGCAGGCAGGGGTGCTGGCTGGGGGGCTGGGAGGCTGGCAGGCCTCCCAGCCCCCAGCAAATCTTCACTCTATCTGAGCTCTCTGGAGTTCGTTCTGCTGCTTCTCGGCTTCGGCTTCGGCTTCTGCTGCTGCTACTGGCGTCCCCGTGACGCCGCCCTTAAAAGCCCAGTCTTAGCTCAGCTGAATCCCATCTACCTATGCCCACACCCTATTCCAGGTGCCCGCCATCAGGCATGCATTCAGGACAAGGATCCATCATCTATCCTGATGGCGAAAGGGCAGAAAAGCCTGATATTTTCTTTACCCTAAAGCATGCATTTGTTGGAAAAACTTTTGTAAAGCCTGCAGAATAATACACCTTCCTACTGAAAGGCCTTCACGTTTTGCCACCTCTGATCATTTTCCGCTTTGTTGGCAGTTTTTCCCTCTTTCTGCCTTTGTGTTCTGTCCTTTCGCCCTCTTTCTTTTTATCTTCCCCTGCAGAGAAAAGCTACTCTCCAAGGGTGGCAGGAAGAGAGGCTTGGAGAACCTGAGAGTATAACCTTTCAGGGACCGGTAAACTCTGAAGTTCAGAACACTCAGACCTGCTGAGTTAGACGCCAGTCACAGGAACCAACATCATGGATTTCCTGAAAGTTTAAAGATTATTTCATTCAAATGTTTTGCAGCACAGATGTACTGGTCATTCCCTCTGGATGATTAAAACATATTGGTTATGGGTTCTGCTAAGTTAGAGGGCAGAGGGCAGAGGGCAGGGTCATTTCCTCTCTGCAATCTTATTTCTCTGCCTTGGGCAAAATTGCTTTCCTCTGTCCCTTTAACTGCCTACTCTGCCCCACAGCCATCTGAATTGGGTTAAACTGGGGGGCTAACTCTTCTGATTGGCTGCTTGCCATTCCAGAATGCAAAATATTCCCTGTTCTCAAACGAAGGCAGGTAATATCTGTCACCAGAATAGGAAAACTGAGAGAACACTAAGAGAAAGAAAGTAAGAAGCTGGAAGGGAAAGAGAAAAACTGAAAAGAAATGAGAATGTGGAAGGAGTAAAGCTCCAACCTACGAGAAAAACCAAGACTGAAAAAGTTGTGAAGAGACTGACCGAACCAAACAGGAGAGTAAAATCTGCACCAGCTGGCGGGATAAGGGTGACAGGAAGTGAGTTAATTCAAAAAAGGGTAGTGTGGGGTTTCCACTGTTCTCCTTGATCTCCTGTTCTTTACAGTGGAAAATAACAGGATTCTGACTGAAGAAACACAACCTCTTCATTGCGTGTCTGGAAGGACGAGAAGAGCAGAAGACATTCAGAGGTGTTCACTCATGAGGCATCCACTCGGAATCTTCGAAGAAAAGCTTTGTGGTGTCACAGAATGTGACGGTGGCATCTATGTGGTCATGCAACCCTCAGGTTGAAGGGGACCTCTGCTGTCTAATCTAATGTGTTCCTTTTGCAAATGAGAAAATCAAGATCCATCCAGATGACTGAAGAGACAACAAAAGTTGAGAGACTGTGTTATTGAGCTACGCTTGGGAATTGAACCCAAATTTTCTGCTCCTGTCATGTGCTTTGACAGCTGCTGCTGGAGCTGACCATTTATTTCTCATTGTGAATGGTTGGTCCCAGACAGCATTGGGCTCCTGCCAGCTGCTCACCCCTCATGGCTCTGATGCCAGAAACAATAGGGGGCTACGAAAGGTTTCCAAGCAGGGGAGTGATGTAACAAAACTGGGTTAGCACTGGATTATTCTAGCAGTGTGGTGAGCACGTGGGGAAGATAAAGAAATCACAGCACCATAAAGTCCCGATGAAGCACCTGTGAGATCGTGAGCAAACCCATTAACCCCTGGACCCAATTTTCTCATCAATATAGGAATGGCTCGGCATGATCCCATGTGCCACGCACCTCTAATATCTTGTGTGTGAACCACCCTTTTCTGCAGCTTTGGCAGTAAATGTTACTTAATTGCAGCAGTTGAGAGAGTATGGCATCCCTGTCTTTATTTCCCCCAATGTTGGCCACATAGGCCCTGAGGTAAATTGGCCCCTCCACAAACAAATCTCTGGAAAATGGCAACTCTAGCGGCTTGCCAGAGGCTGGACCATGGGATCCAAATGCAGAAAAGACAGGAGCACATGGATATCTGCTTAACTCTGCTCTCTTTGATTTATGGGTATTATCCAAAGTAGTAGCCATAAAATACAAAGCATTTGCACAGCAAGAATCCCTACACCAGTCTCCCCAACCCCAACAAGCTAATAGGAAAGGAATCCTGGGGGTTCTGGCTCAGATAGTTCAGTATCTAATTGAAGGCAAAGAAATAACAGTCAGCTCATTCTGCCACTGATAACATTGTCATTCTGAAGAGAGCCTAACTCCTTAATTGTTTCAAACCAGTTGCTCTTTTATTTTATGTCTTAAAAAGTGTCATTTCAAAGAAAAGGCTGTCTCTTGGCAGACTTTACCCTTTAGAACCAGGTTGATAATAGTCCATTAAATAGAGAACAGGGTCAATAATGAAAGTCTGGAAAAATAGTTACTCTTGTCATATGTGAAGATAGAAGAGTCTTCTGAAAGAGAAAAATGTGTGGAGATATTTTTCTAATGTGGATTGCTCATAACGCTTTCTCTGAGGTTTAAGAAAAATTAAATTGTTAACATAACAAACAGTTGTGGGATATTTGATAAAGACAGGGAAACTAATCTAGAGTTTATTATTGGATAATTAAAATTAATTTTACTCTTATATGATCAAGAGTGATTACATTTGCATTTTGTTCTCTAATTATAATGAAACTTTACTGCTTCATCTAAATGTTGAGAGTATTTTAAAGCATTTGGGCTGTTGTGACTATGAAAAGATGTTTTCCTGCAGAGGAAGAGGTATTCTGGTGCCATCTCTTTTTCTGTCTCTCTGGTCACTGAAAGATGAGATGTTTCTAGAACCAAGCTCAAAAGATTCTTGATTCTCACATTTTGCCAAATTCTAATTTGCTTTCTTTTGGGGGAACAATATTCTTGTGTGTGTTCTGGAGTTTTTGATTTTCTCTTAAGAGGAGAAAAAGGTAATTGACATATTCCAGCTCTTATTCATTGCAATACCTCATTGGGATCTACTAATTCTTCTTGAAGACCTGCTCATTGGCTGGCAATGAATAAATATTTTCTGTTATTGTTGTCGTTGTGTAGTCAACTGGATTTTCTTTTATGACCCATAACACTGTTATCATCCTGATTGTTTTTTTTTTGTTGAGGTAACATTGGCTTGCAACTCTGTATAAGTTTCAGGCATACAGTTTCACACCTTGACAAGTGTCTGTGCCACACCTGATCATTGTTATTACTGGATTCTTGGTTTAGTTCTCCCATTTCATATGACCTACATCTTTGTTTTTCTTGTTCTTAGCCACTGTTTTGCTGGAGGACATTTTCAAATAACTATTTTGAAGTAAAGAGATAAACTTTCAGCATCTTTGTATATCTGAAAATAACTTCATTTTATTCACATTTGATAATTAGCTTTATTCTAGACTCAAATAATTTTCTAAGAATTTTGAAGTCTATTTTATTGTCTTCTAGCATTTACTACTAGTGGTGAAATATTCAGTAATTAACTTCTTATATTTTTGTAGATTATCTTTTTTAGATATCTTTTTGTAGATTATCTGTTTGGTAATATTTGTGATCACTGTTGGAAATTTCAGAAATGATATGGAAATTTTAGAAATTATGTTTCTTGTAGATTCTTTTTGAGCATTTGAAAACACTTTTCAAGTAAAGTTTTATCTCCCTTCAATGCTGAATATTTTGTTCATATTTCTACACTTTTCTATGTCTTAAAACTTTTCATTATGTTCAATCTACTTAGAGAAAAATGCACGACCCATAAGAGTGCACACAATATTTTTTCACAGTCTGAAAATATCCTTGTAACTAGCACTAAAACTAGCTAGAATGATTATAGCACTCCATGCAAAAATTTATGTTCAAATATTTACAGCAGGATTTTGGAAATAGTAGAGCTTTAAACAACTCAAATGTCTATAAATAGGTAAACAGATAAACAAATTGTGGTGTCCAAACCATGGAGACAATGAAAAGAAATAAATTACTGATATGCACAACAAATTGAATGGTTCTCAAGGTGATTATGCTAAAAGAAAAAAAAAAAAACAGATAAAAAATGAATAGTCCTTTGTGATTCCACGTAACTGTAGGACTCTAGAAATTACAAACTAAGCTATTGAGATATAAAGACAATCAGTGTTTGCATGGGAATGGGGTGTTGGAGAAGGATGGAGAAAGAATTGTACATGTGTAAAGGGAAATATTGAGGGTGATGGGCATGCCCCTGGTCATGATTGTTGCAGTAGTTTATGGGGGCATACCTATGTAAAGACTTAGGAAACTGTACATCTGAATTTTGAAAGCACTTCACTCTCTATCAGAAATTAAGTATTTTATGTTCCTTTAATCATTCAATTGATCTTTAGAACACTCTTACTTTTAGGGAACTCTTTTTTGCTGCCAGAGGTCTAAGGCCATTATATTTAATCTCTTATCTTCCTTTCTTATAAATATTGTATACTTCACAATATTTATCAGATATGCCAGATGATTTTTTCCTGTAGAGTCAGGTTACTTTTTTTCTGATTTAAATATGATTTTCCCATTTTTCTTGGGTTTTACTTTTTCTGTTTTGTTGTTCTTTTGTTGGCTTCGTGAAGTTCAAGAGAGTGAGTACAATAACATGATGATTCATAACACACTCCCACCATCTCTAAACTTTTTTCGCTGGAAGGTATTTTTGCAAGACACACTCAGGCTTTGAGAAATGATGTGATTCATACTGGACCTACTGAGTTAGCATTATCAGGAAGAAACAACCTAGATCTGTCTAATATTATAGCTGGAATACAGCAAATCAGCGGAGACAAAGCTATATTCTTTTCACATGAAATCAAAGTGAAAAAAAAGTACACTGATATTTCTGAAATCTGGGGTTTTTTTTTTTTTTTTGCACTGAAAACAAAAGGCAAAAGAAAAACTTTTCTATCTATTATTAAATTTTGTCATTATACAAACTGTCTATTCCTTTATAGATAGAAATCCTTGGAGATTTGCCTGGGTTCCTGCCTACTCTCGAGGCAAACCCAAGGTAAGGATCACATTTCCCGTAAGTGAGACAGAATGTTTAGAGGTGAGTTGCAAAAGAACACAATGGACTAGAACAAATGACACAGAAGTTAGAAAATGGGGCGTTTTATATTCCACAGAAAGAAGGTTGGGCTTTAGATTAAGATCAGTGGGGAACCAGTGAGCAGATTTAAACAGAGAAGTTACCTAATCATATTAGTTTCTCCTACTCCAAAAATCTAACAAAGATAATACCTAAGGCAGTAGAGCAAAGAGAAATAAAATTATCAGAGGAAAGAAGTCAGTCCTTAATGGGAAGCTTGGAGGGATAACTTAAATTTTATTATTTTCTCTCTGATTATACAGGAGGAGGACATGGAATTGTTGATTTTCTGAGAGTAAAAGAATTTCATTTACATCAAGAGAAAATGTGTCTGTACATTAAATAAATATTCTTTCCTAGGAGAGGAAAACAGAAATGATCCACCCAATGTGTGTCTGGTCTCAATCTCTGAAAACGTAGAGGAAAACAGAGCATTTCCACTGAAGTCTGTGTTCATCTTGCCCCAAGAACATATTGAAGTAGAAATTAGAAATTAATGAGAAATCTTTCGATTTCAAGTGACATAAATGCATCTCAAGTTGGTTTAAATGCGAGTATGGGGTTCACATTACAAAAAAGTCAAGGACTAGATATGGCTTTAGGCATGGCTGTATCCAGCAGTCAAAAATATGTCATCTGGAATAGATTTATTCATCCCCTCCCTTTCTTTCTTTTGTATTGAACATGTTTCCTCAAACTTACATCCTGCTTCTTTAAAAACCTCAGTGAAATGGTAATGTTCTCCCTCACTCGATGGTTAATGCTCATACCAGCAAAATTCTAAAACTGACCGTGATGGCTTGGTTTGAGTCAAAGCCTTATCCAAGAACAAGTCACTGAGAATAGCTACTTTGAGTAGTGGGATTGGTCACCCCAGAGCCACAGAGCTGGGGGAAGTGGGTCAACCTCACTGAAACTAAGGGCTTGAGTATGAAGAGATTCAAGTGGCAGATGATTCCCACAAGTATGTTGGAGGATTTTTTAACAAAATGAAAGATGGCATGCTGGACAGGCAAAGCAAATAAGACAAAATGAAACAAGCTTGCCCCATTCATGGATGTGCATTCCACATTTTAAAGTCTCTATGTCCCCAGTTTGATATATTAGGATGAAGTCTGCCAAGAACATCCCTAGATTTACCAATTTTTACTCTGCAATCCTTTCTACTTTCACTATCATCATCCAAAGACTTTGTTTCCAACCTGTGTGCTTTACAATGAAAACCAAGGCATAAAGTTTACTTCTTCGCTGTGGGTCACCCTGTAAAATGTGTTCCTGTATATATTCTGGACTGGAAATACCTCTTGGCAAGAGAACAATGGAACTAGCTGCCTTCATTATCAGGGAGAAGAGCCATATGTGGCTTATGTCTTAAATGAAAAACTCAGTGTACAACTTTCAAACAACAGATTGTCTCCAGCGGTGATGAGCCGGGGCAGCAGCAAATGAGGCCTTCTCAAGGCTGTCCCCTGTAACTTCGTTGTGTTCTGAACTGAGCAGAGCTGTAGCTGAGCGTCACTGGGGCACTGTGCCCAGCTAATCCTTCACATTCATGCCAAGTCCCTCAACAAAAGGCCCCATTGTCATGGCTCAGTGTGTCTGTGGGTACCCATATTCTAGAAACTGCATGGTGACCCTAACTCACTGAATGAATGCTGTACCCCACTCCATCTCGAAACGAGAATCAATGTTGGCACTTAGCATTCATGAGTCGTCTGACAATCCTATTCTCAATGTGCACATGCTTGTGAGGAAAATAAAATGGATGTTCTGAAGGCAGACTCCACTTCTAAATCTCAGAGGGGTTATACACATCACTGAGAAAAATTGATTTAGCAAAATTATAGCTAATCCTGACTGCCCTTTTAATTGCATGCAGAGTTTGGTAATGATGCGTCTGATTTTCCTCATGCACTAAAAAAAAAAAAAGAAGAACTGCTCTTTGGAATTGATGTTTCTGTGTCCTTTGGGTAAATACCTAAGAGTGGAATTGCTGGATCATATGGAAGCTCTATGTTTAGTAGGTCCAGAAATCTCCACACAGCTCTCCATGGTGGTTAGACCAGTTTGCACTCCCACCAACAGTGCAGGAGAGTTCCTTTTTCTCCACAACCTCGCCAACAACATTTGTTGATGCTATTTTTTTAATACGCACTATTTACAATAGCTGAGCTTTGGAAACAACCCAAATGTCCAAAAATAGAAGACTGGATCAAGAAGATGGAATATTACTCAGCATTCAAAAAAGATAAACACATGCAATTTGCAGCAACATGGATGGAGCTGGAAGGGATCATGCTCAGCGAAATAAGCCAGAAAGAAAAAGAAAAATACCGGATGGTCTCACTCATAGCAGGAATCTAGAAAACTTAAATAAGGGACCAGGAAAATGAATAACTATAAGAAAGTGAAAATCAAAATCAACAAACAACTATGAACCAGAGACACTCTATGGGGGGTGGGGGGCAGAGAAAGGAGGGCTTGGGGTCAAAATAAGGGGGTTGTAATTGTAAGGGGAATATAAAAATAAAATTTAAATAATAAATAAATAAATAAAAAGTAAAAAAAAAAAAAAAAGGTTAAAAAAAAAAGAACCAGGAAGGAAAAGGGTGGGAATCAAGAGTCCTTGAAATTTTGTTTGAAATGTTCAGGCTCAGCTCTGCCATGCTGGCTCTTTCCCTTTATTCCTTGCTAAATGATCTCACTTTCAGTGTTGGAGGTTATTCTCTTGAACCGTTTCAGACAGTTTTCTGTTATTACTTTAATTCTCAGTAAGCTGTTGGCAATTGCTATCAAATTGCTTCATGGATCAATTCTCCCCTCATAGCCCATTAAATTTTGCTTTTTTGTCCTGAGTAAGAAGTCACAAACACATTTGGTTACATTTGGTCAGTGGGCCATAAGCCCTTTACTCCTCTTTAGAACTTACTGCAATCGACTCACATTATGCTTTCTGAATGCCCCATATTTATGGGGCTCTCCATATTCAGCACCATATCCTACTATATGGAAAAGTCTGTTTGGATGCAATGTTATTTGCTCAATTATGTAATCAGGAAGAGGCATAAGAGTACAGGGGGTAGTTACATTGGTTAAATCCCAATAGTTTTGTAGGTTGCAAAAATGGCCACACATTAGTCCCTTCCCATTACCCAGGCTGCTTTGCAGTGTGTCTTTGTAGCACATTCTGCCAAGGAGAGGGCCTTTCCCCTACCTCTTCAATGTGCCCTAGCCCTGTGACTTGCTTTCATTAACAGCATGTGGCAGAGGTCATTGTGCCTGTCCTGAGCCTGACATTCCAGGAGGCATGCACACTCCTCCTACCTCTCCTGGAATCCTGCTCCTTCCAGGTGAATAAGCCCAGACTCACCTGCTGAGATATGAAAAGTCACTTGGAGGAGAGTCACAGTGCCTGGGCCTGTAATAAACCAGAATCCGCTGCAGCCAACTCCAGACACAGCTAAGCCTAGCCCAGAACTGATGACAGAGTTAATAAATGGTTATTATTTGAAGCCACTGGATTGTTAAGGTGGCTTATTATTCTACAAAAAAATTAATTGATTGATCTCCCAACTTATTGGTTCTGATGATGATCCTTGTAATTCTTACCCTGTAAAGACATTTCAGTTTTGACCTAAAACTAACAAATCCTTGCTGTATGCCTAGTTTAGAAAATTAGTAAAATGAAGATCTCTTATTATCACATTTATGCCTAAGATGGCGTCAATCCTCTAAGAAAATACTATGTACAGCTTATTGTTGCCTTCTGAATAATGCTCGTGCTTATTAACCCAACATTTAAAAAGACCTCTACTCTTTGATTTTAACCTATCCTTTCAGCTTTATTTCTACTGCGCTCCATTCAAAAACATTTTTGTCCAGGCTATGTGGATCACTCTATTTTCCCCAAATTACAAAGCTTTCACAACTCCTTGTCTGTCCTCTTACTGTTTCCACTGCCCGAAATGCCCTTTCTCTTATCTCTGCATGGTAAAATCCTACATACTCACCAAACTTCATTTTAAATGTTACCTCTTTCATGATTCTTTCCCATAACATCCTAAACAGAAGGGATGATTTTGTCTTCCTTGGGAATAACAAATGTCCGTGGTTTCTAACCTTCACGTAGGTCTTGGGTTCTAGTTGTTCTGTCTCCTGTGCTCTGGCATTAGACATCACCTCTGCCATCATCACCGTAAAACCTACTGGATGCTCATCAGAGGCTGCATCTGCTCTGGGGAGTTTACACGTTTTCCTAGTTAGTCTTCTCAATGACCCTATCTGGAAAGAATTATTACTTTGCATTTACAGGTGATAAAAAATGAGGCTCAGAAACCTAGGTTGTTGGTACAAGGTCCGACCACTCCTAGTTGGCAGGTTACACCAAGGCCTTCTCTTCATCTCTTAGTTCTCCTTTGTAGCAGTTGCCAGTCCCCTGGAGTCGGCGTGGTCAGAGCCATAACCTCACCTATGGACCCAAAGCAACCTCTCAACTGTTGACTCAGGGAGTCTGCAGAAGGAAAGTTATCCACTGATGTGAGCTCTTGGGGAGAAGTTTCCCTAGGGTAATTGGTCAGAAATATTGGTTTGTAGCAGGATTGGTTTTTCAAGTTCGTTTCCTGAATCTAAAATGTCCTGAAATATCTTGAGTTATTATTGCCCAACAGAGACGCAGCGCTATAGGCAGCTAATAAGTTTCCTGCTGTTTGCTACTAATTGGGAGCTAATAACTTATTTCCCCTTCCAGTCATAATGAATTTCAGTTTGTGTAGTCTAGCCTGTAAAATTAACAATATGACACCCCCAAAATCGGACCTAATTGATTAACTTTCAATATGGAGGCGGCCTTTCAACCCAGCTTCTTCTCAGGAGGCCCACAGCAGAGAACTGAAGTGAGGCTGGGGAAGCTTGGTTTTGTCACTTGAGATGTGAAGGGGGAATAAAATCTCTGTCCGTTCACCAAAACTTTTACTACTTTGTTGGTTGGGAAAATCACAGATTGTTCTCTCACACAGAAGGAAAGAAGGAACATTTCCCTATTTTTGTGAGTGATTTTCTTCTTAAAATAATAAAAGAAAGGAACGTAAAAGCTAGCATATTTATGTATTACTGGGAGTTGTTCTTGTGGACTGAAGCATGTGGATTCTGGTTTTGATTGGTGGGGATGACGTAGCTGGCTTCATCATCCTGAAATGAGCTGGCCCACAGACTGGGGCGCCATGACCCTGCTGTTAATCACCCTCTTTTTCTGTCATGAGGAAGTATCTGTGTGACTGCCAGAGCCCACACCCTTGCTCTCACATTAGGAGAGATTTATCCTTGAATCTGGTCTCTTAACATTGCAGGTTTTCTTTTTTTTTTTTTTTTTAGATTTTTTT